TTAATTCATGTCCATGCATATAATATAACTCTACTATTATGTATATACTATATACATACATCTATAAAATACATTAGTCATATTATGTAGGTACATAATATATATATATATCAATTTGTTTATTACATTTGATATTAAATAAATAAATATACGTGATAGACCATAGACCTATATATTGAGTAATATCAAATTATGTCATATCATTATACAATTGAACCATCAGAGTATTATATTAAACTATTTGAAAAATATAGGTGCGTTGATCATGGTAAATGTGTCAAGTATTAAATAAATATTAATTATTATTATTATTTATTAAAAATACTTATAGTATATTCATATAATTAGTTATAGTATAGTCATATAATATGATTAAATTCATTGAGTTATATTTTTAATATACATAATTTGACTCAAATAAAAATTGAGTACCTACTACATAGCATATTATAATATGTTATTGTATACTTAATGTGAAATAACCTGTTTCCAATACCTAGTTACTCTCTATTAGTCTATTAATGTTATGTACCTACTCTTGGAGTACCTACTCACCTATGTCCAACTACCTTATTTACCAATTTCAATGTTAATTCATTTATTTAATGTATACATATTACAATATGCCTAGTTCATATATTATGACACTATACTGTTAAACACACAATGCAAACTATTACAAAAAAAAACCTATTTCATATACCAACCAATACCAATAATATAGATAGTAAATAGTACTTCATTTAAACTTTTAGACTCCAGTAACCATAGAAGACAAATACTTACAAGGGCGTCCGCAGGAATTTGTCAAGGGGAGGGCAAAATATTTTCCTTTTTCATTTCTTGTATTTTTATGACATATTTTCTTTTATATAGACAAGGGATGTAAAAATCTTTATGAATTATTCGTACATAGTTAGTTAAACTTAATCTTACAGCATTAATTTTAATTAATTGTTATGTAATTTTAAATTATCAAATACATTATTTTTTAATAGATGAAATGTTATTGTTGGTTTTATAATTTTACGTAATTTATAAAATTAAATATTTCTAGCTTATTCAGTCATTGATACCACAAACTTAAAGTGTTATAGCTATTGTAAGTATGCCATCTATGAACATTTAATTTTTTTATTAAAAAAGTAAAATCTTGGTTGACACTGCAGTATTGCACTTGGTCCCACCACTACATCTCATAATCTATAAAAGCAATGTTCTTAGTTCTGACTCTGAATCGAGTGTAATAAAAATCACTCTGTAAAAAAAAAAAAATGTTTTTATTTTTAATTTATAGTAAGTTTATTTTGCTATATTTTATATTACAACGGTAATGATTGAGGTTGGGTTATAATGCACTTTGTATTGTTTTCCAAATCTACACGTTACTGATTTTATACCTTCATTGAATTTTTTGACGATTTTAAATTTAAGGTCATTTTTTGCATTTAAAGATTTTTTTGAGCATTTTGAAGTTTTTTCTAAATTTAAATTTAAAATTTTATTTTTAAAATTGCACATGTTTTTAAATAATTTTTATAATAAATATATGATCTTAAACCTAACCTATAGGTACAGAAAAAAAAGTTAATTTTCAGATTAAATAAGTAGTCTAAATGATAAGTTCTGTCTGTTAAACTTTTCTATAATCATTTAAAATAAAATAAAATATGAATAAAAATAAAAATAATTTAGTGCACTATTTAGAATTGTTAGGGTATTTTTTAGTTTTTATAGAACATTAAAATCATCAATAATAATATATGATAATCAACCTAGAAAAATCCAAGGGAGGGGCAACTGCCCCTACTTGCCCCTCCCTGCGGACGCCCTTGAATACTTAATAGCAAAACTTGCATTAGGTGAAAAAGTACCAAATAAGACATTTTACGAGGGCTTATTACCTGCAGAAGTAGTTCATACACAGTCACCTATATCTCATGACATTCATCAAGATTCAAATAAAAAGAGTTCAACAGAAAGTATGCAGATTATAAAACGGACAATCACGGACAATCATCACATCATTCAAAATAATATAAAGTTAATATATTATAAAATATTATAAAAAAAATATTCATTTTTATTATTATTATTATATTTATGTATTGTATTTATTTGTATTGTTTGTTAATATAATATATTCAATATATTTTATATTTTTTAATTTAATAAACAAATTGATATATATATATTATGTACCTACATAATATGACTAATGTATTTTATAGATGTATGTATATACATAATAGTAGAGTTATATTATATGCATGGACATGAATTAATAGTGATATTAGTAAATATTTTGGTCCATTGGTCTAAAAGTATAAATAAAGTACCTACACATAATATTATAAAAAGTTAACATGAATTGATAGTGAAATAAAATTAGTAAATAAAGTAGTTTGACACAGGTACTCCAATGGGCTTCGGTATAAAATATATTATGTAGTAGGTAGGTACTTAATGTATTACAGTTTTAAGGTGAGTCAAATTATGTATATCAATAAACAAAATATATATATGACTAAACTATACTATACTAATTAAACTATTTAATAAATAATAATAGTAAATACTTGATTTTATCTACACATTTAACATGACCAACGCACCTAAATGTCTCTTTTATACTTTAAAATAGAAAATAGTACAAGTACAATATAACTAACCATCTTGCAGTAGGTAATTGATATATTACAGTTTTTATATTACATTTTATATTACATTTTACAAGCATATTATTGAAATTATTGAAATTAGTACATATTTTGGTCCATTGGTCTAAAAGTTTAAATGAAGTACTATTTACTATCTATATTATTGGTATTGGTTGGTATATGAAATATGTTTTTGTTAATGTTTTTTGTTTTGTAACAGTTTGCATTGTGTGTTAAACAGTATAGTGTTATAATATATGAACTAGGCATATTGTAATATGTATACAATATACATTAAATAGATATAAGGTAGCTATATTTTTTAAATAGAAAATAATAAAGAGTAGTATAGGTATATAGTATATCGTAATTTAAATTTGAATTTGGCGCTAAATATTTCAGACCAATGAGAATGCCGTATTTCCCTATGGGTTTTATTTGATGTGCGGAATGTTAATATGCCTCCCGGATTTCTAATAACTGTTAGCGCTTCCAGTGAATAACAGCAGTAACTACATGAAGAACATTGGTTTTGAAATTCCCTCTATTTTTTTTAGATGGTATCTATAAAGCCGTGATTTTGAAGTGCATTGTACATTATAATTTATAATTTATATTTTATAACCCGTGTTCACTATGAGTTATAATATATTATAAATTATAATTATCAATGTTATTTGTCTATTATGCTGACTGATGAGAGCTAATTCATCGTTATATTGTTTGAGATTTCGATAAACATAAAAATCATAATATTTAAAATGCCTCATTGTTGCGTACGAGAACCGCATACAATTTCTAAAAACACATTTGGCATTCCAAAAGATGACCAAGAAAAAAAATGGGAAGAAACACTAGGAATCATTTTTAAAAAATGGGATCATATTTGCTCTAGTCATTTTAAAGAAGCAGATTTAATTGGTACATATAGTTCAAGCGAAGGTCACAGTAAATATACTGTAAGTGTTTATTACAAAGATTAAAACCTGTGTAAATTGGAAACTAACGAATTGTGTATTATTTATTAATAAGATATGTCTGAAACGACTACAATTAAAATCTGGAGCAGCACCAGTCAAGGGCTGTAGAACAACTACACTTAATCATACCCAATCTGTAGAGGTTTGTAGTTTTATTGTATATAATTTAAACCTTAAAGCTTAAAGTTACCACATAAAATAAAATTTTCATAAATATATTATTGTATAATTCTGTAGGTTTTTGAATCTTGTAATACCAGCTAACATCCATTGTCAATAGAACAGTCTAATAATATTTCTTCTTTATTAATTTTAAGTGACAAATTGCAGGAGCCCGTGTCTAAACGAATAAAGGTTATTACATTTATTGGGATTGAAATTATAAATAATAATTATTATTATACTATCATTATAATATTTAATTATTCTTATTTAGCTATTTTAAAAAAAAAATTTTTTCAGACTGAACCATTGAATGATCTTATAAATTTGACATTATATCAAAGTGTTTATAATAATATTAGTCTAATTAATATTCCAAATAAATGGCGAGCAAATGTAGAGTTAGTACAAAATGCATACATAATTGTTTTTCATAAATTAAGCTCTTTTCAAAATAATTTTACCAGATTCATTGAAAAACAACTCATCATAACTAATGGTATTTTATTAAAAGTATTTAAATGAAAAGATTTATGTAATATTAAATAATTTTATGTTAAATTAATAATTATAGAATCAAAAATTATTTTATATTTGAATAACAAAGAGGTAACCTCAATAGAAATTGGGATAGAAGTTAACCATATAAAAAACTTTGAAGATATTGTAAAATTTTTGAACAGGTTGGACAATGCTAAATACTGCAAAGGAGCAATATCATCTTTGAAATATAATGCCAATAAATCATCATTTGGTTCCAATTTAATAGAATGTGATGATCAATGGAGACACATTAAATATTTAACTATATTAAAATATGATGACAAGTAAATTCTTATACAATTACAATTTTAATTTATACTCTTATTAAGTAAAATTAATTTTTTATTTTTAAATTTATATAGTTCCAATGATATATGCGTGTGGTGCCAAAGGCTTTTATATTCAATAAAAAAAAACAAACTAGGCTTTTAAATGAGAAAGTTACTAGGGTATTTTTTCTCCCAATAAAAAAAAATTACTGCAGATAATTCATAAAACTGTAAGTAAGGTGAAAAAAAGATTTTCCCGTGCCACAAACAAAATTAACAGATTGGAGAATAAACTTAATGAAATAAAAGATAAAATATAAAATATAAATAAAGAAAATCTTGATAATCTTTTGGAAAAAGCAAGAATTCCTCAAGGATAAGTTGAAATGATCAAAGAAATATTTTCTACTGCTAAAATGAAGAATGCCAAAAATAGGAAGTACAGTGAAAATTGGATGTTGTTATGCTTATTGTTTCAAATAAGGTAGTAAATATCAACTATTTCATTAAGATTATAAAATATTATGCTTACCTTAATTAACAATTTTATAATAGATCTCCTGGTGGTTATAAATACCTTAGACAACAAAATATTTTACCTTTGCCATGTACTACAACAATACATAAGCATTTATTAGCAATTAAAATAGGGTGCGGTTTTGATGAAGATTTTTTTAATCTTCTAAAAAAGAAATTTGAAACCAAATCGGAACAACAAAAAATAGAAGTTCTTGTATTGGATCAATTATTCCTTAGAGAGAGTATCAGTGCAAATACTAGATCATTGACATACCATGGATTGGAAGATTTTGGTGAAGGTTTGGATATAGGGACACGAGCTTCAGAAAAAGCTAACCATGCACTGGTTCTCATGTTATAAACTTTAGCGGATAGTATTCATCAACCGATAGCAGTGTTTACTTCTCAAGGACCAGTCAAAGGTGACAATGTTAGATATTAAATATTAGTTTTACTATCTAATTAAATTTGTTTTTTTAGGAATTGATCTTTCAAAAATTGTAATAAAAGCAATCTTACTATTGGAGAAAGTCGGTGTAAAGATTTTAGGATTGACAAGTGATGGTGCTTCTACAAATCGAACGATGTGGACTACACTAGGTATAAATTCAAAAATGGAAAATTTCAATAATTCGTTTCGAAATCCATTTGATAGCAAAAGAAAAGTGTACGTCTTCTCAGATGCACCACACTTATTGAAAACAGTACGAAATAGATTACATAACAAAAAAATTTTAAGAGTAAGACATGAAATAAAATCATTCTTTAATAAAAAAAAAACCCCAGATTTACTACAACTCTATCTTAGTTATAAAATTAACAATCACATCATCTATATTTGCTTAAATCCATCCAGATAAAGCTCCAATAAAATGGGAATTTTATAAAAAAGTGTTTGAGTACGATTCTAAAAGTCTTTTGAAAGTTTGCCCAAGGTTAACATCAAATCACTTTGATCTTAAAAATTTAACTAAGATGAAGGTTAAATATGCATCTCAAGTAGTTAAGAAATATATCACTATTTATAAAAAAAATATATTAAAAATATTAACCCAACTAACTATTATTTATTTATTTAAAATATAGATGTTTAGTAAATCTATGGTAAATAGAATACAATTTTACAAAAGTAAAAATTATGAAGGATTTACAGATTGTGAAGAAACTATTAAATTTACTGATATATTTAGTAATGTTTTTGATGCATTGAACAGAAAATTTCCTGCGGAAGGAATTCGAAAAAATAGTCATGATTTAGAGGTTTGTTATATGGTATGTTGTGTGCGTTAAGTGTTTGCACGTGTGTAAAATTGTGTCTTTGTAATATTAAGTCTTGATATACAACAAAAAGGGGAGTACTTTAACATTAAAATAAAAATAATATTACTTAAAACTATCATATATACTAACTATACTATATTATAATTATATTTTGTTAATTTAAGGTACTAAAAAACGTTTTAGTGTGGCTCAATGATTGGGAGCAAAATTTAAGAAATAAACTTATCACAGATGATATGTTTCTTACTAAACAAACCGTAGAGGGCCTAAGAATCACCATTAAATCAACAATAGACTTGGTAGAATATTTGCATACTGAATTTGGATTTGCTTATGTTTTAACTACTAAATTAAACCAAGACTGTTTGGAAATAATAATAATAATAACTTATCCAGAGAAAAAATATTAATTATTAAATATAAAATTACATTTATATAATAAACCTAACTAATTACTAATTACCATTGTTTTTTTAGAATTTTTTTGGAATCATAAGGCAAGTGGCAGGCCCTAATGATCATCTATCCACACCAATGTATTTACAGTTATACCAAATACTGTCAGTTTATTCATTAATAAAACCGCCTAAAACGGGGAATTGCACCATTTTAGAAGGTACAAACAAAAAATGTATTATTTGAATATATTGTATCATCATAAATATAATTGGCTTCAACTTACTTTTAAAGAGAATGACCCTGTTATAAAAATCAGTGATATGAAAGAAATAATGAATAAACATGATCAATCTACAAGGGACTTAAAAATTAGCAATTTAAAAAAGAAAATTGACAGCATTTTTGAAGAAGGTATTTGGGATTTTGGCGATATTTTTCAAGAATTTAATTATTTTAATAATTCCTCTACAGTTTTTGAATGTGTTGTGTATTTCTTAGCTGGGTAAATAGTATTAATTTACATTAATTTTATTTTATTTTTTAATTATTGTATTATAATTTTATGTTATTTGGTAAGTATATAAATAAAAATATAATTAAACACATTAAATGTGAAATGTGCTTAAATAGCTTAAAACCTGAATATGGTCAAGTTGTTGTCCCAGAAGCAGATCTTGTAAATTTGAAGACAAGATGATTTTTGACACATCCAAATACAAATGTTTATATGCTAACAAAATTGATTGAAATGTGCTTTGAAAAACATGCGGAGTCACTAAATGTATTTGAAGATACATATGAAGGATTCTTCAGTAAAAATATGCGACTCACATTTCCATGTAGTGAACACAAGAGTGATGTGCTTACTAATATATTTAATATGTATATAGTCATGAGAATGAGACAGTTCACATATTCAACAAACCAACAAAATAAAAAACAGAATACATTTTTAAAAAAATCTCTAATTTAATTACTACATAAGTTATAAAGTTATATTAATAATTATAATACATAATTTAATTATTTTGTTTAAATATACTATTGTAACCCATCAGTTAATTTTAAAACTATTACATTTAATACAAAAATGATTTAAGTTATATTTGAAATTTATTTTTTTTTACAGTGGTATTTTACATTTAAATGTTCAACTATTCAAGATACCTATATAAAAAAATATTTTTGAACTACACAACTAGATAGTGCTAGATGGTATTAGAAAGGCACTAGAAGTCTAGAACTTTTCATGGACGTCTAATCATGAATCGTCCCGCAACCACGGTATCAAGATTTTCAAGAAGAAAAATTCGATACGTATCGATACGTACCACCTCGTATCGAAGTCCGAGTCCGATGCGGGTCGGTACGTATCGCTTGTATACTGCACGTGTAAGTTCTTGAACGCTCAAAATACGATCGTATCGATACACTCCAAATTCCTCCTTGAAAATCTTGAATCTATAGCCGTGACTTGTACCGCGTTTGCGCGTATTTAGTTGGTCATGCGCACGTTATCTCAGTGTTTAATCGTTCCGCTGATAATAATAATATAATAGCTACTATAAGTTATAACATAATATTATTTTTTATTGTAACTTTCGCAATTTCGATCAAGATTTTAAATATTATCGAGACTCAAGAGAATTATGAAACTGGTGTGATGTGTGAACGCAGTTTCGACATTTTAAGTAAGAATTATTTCACCTTAACAACGAATTACCTTTTTATAATTACATGTTACATATTTCAATTTATATATTTTGGTTTGGTATCAATCTAGTTGTAAAGGAAACTCTTACAGTCTTTTTAATTATTGGGGCCCAAAGAACTAATTACAATTATCAAGTATATCGTTTCTAAGATATAATCGGCACGACCCACATTTAGTCCTTATTCATATTGAATTTATTTTATAACTGTACATATCATGTAACTTTCTTTTATTTTTAAATGTCGAAATTTTAAACATTATAATATTACTTTTAATGTCATATATAATGTTTTATAAAAAAAAATGAATCTAGGACATTTGACACCCAATAATAGGACAATTTATTGACACTCGCTGAAACGACAATTGACAACGAATATAAATTATTTTATAATACAGTATTATTTATACTGTATAATCAGCATATAAGATTGTAATATAATAATTCAAAAGTTTATTCTAATAAAATGTTATATCTTGTAAATATTAATTAGTATAAAATGAATATAAATAATAGGTAATAAAAATAAACATATTCAAATTTAATGTTCGATTACATACGATACATTTTTTAAAAAACAAACAATTTCAGTATTTGTTTTTTATTGAGAAGTTTAACACATATGTTTAAGCATTTCTTCATTTGTTTTAATTTTACAATTTATTTGAATACCTGTGTTTAGTTTTAAAATCACTATTGGGGTTATGGAGTTCATTTGCAAAGCTCCAATAATTATTTAATATATATGTACGTGGATGTTTAAATCAAATTAAATGTTGGAACTTGTTGTTCCAGCCTGCTGCTGTATTATTAAACCATACTATATCTTAATTGTGTTGCATTGTGCATGTTCCACACACAAGTATGTGGAGGAAACATACATGGGCTCTTTTTGAAGCAAATTACTTGTTTATCATTAATTAACTGGTTTGCCTCATTAACATATGTTACATCGAAGTATGTTAAAATACTATCCACATCATTATCAAATGAAAAAATATGTAATAAGCTCATTCCTATAAAAAAAGATATTTCAATTTAAAAAAAAAAATTAGTTTATATTACCTGTATTGTACCTATTTTTAATAATGTTAAGAGGTAGAGAGGTCAATTGGTATTGAAAAACAAATTCTTTGTCTTTTCTTTATCTTGTTGCCACACACTTTGACCAAGATGGTAATAGCACAATTGTATGAAAACGCTGTCTTCAATTGCTTTTATTATAGCAAGTTTAAAATCAATAGAAAATGACTTCACCGATGAACATGTGTTTTTGAGAGCCGTCAAAAGTTCTACCTAAATTGTCCATGTTTTTTGTGGTAACAAGTAATAACGCATAAACGACATGTAAAGGTTTCATTCTATAAATTATGTGTAGGACACTAAGTTGATAAAAATTTTTAGGGCAAAATGAAAATGTTCCGTCCACGAGCAAAAACTTATGCTGATTAGGTCCTACTGTCATCGTCTACTCACCCTCTAACACAAATTCTTTGGAAGAAATAGTAGGATATGAATTGTTATGGATTCTCCTTAAATTTCTTTTTACATTATTTTCATTTGGCATCAAACAAGCATTAAACATTTTGAATGGATAGTGTTACGTTTGTGGTTGGATAACTGACTGAGTACAGACACTAACTACTAACTAATAACTATTGCCTATAGGTACTTACCTAATCACTGTTATCTTATTAGTAATCGCTAGTTGTCAATTGTCCATGTTCTTAAAATATTGGGGGCAGATACCAACACAAATGTCGGCTGTTAAATTTTTTGGGTATCAATTGTCCAAATACTAAAAAACAGAGATATATCACTAAAATATCTCTTAATGTATTATTATTTGTTCATGTTATAGGTAAACATGAATGTGTCAAAGAGTATCAAAAACATAGAAAATAAAGAGGTATCAGAAATTTACAAGTAAGAAAAAACAATGCATTACAATACTTAAATAGGTATTGTCATAATATATTAAATACATTTTTACATTTTTATTTGATTATTGGGTAATTTATTATTTTGTAGAATTATGCATGGTTAATTTTGGATAAATATAGTAGGATATAGTGTTCAGTTGATATGTTTGTAATTTATATAACCATATTTATTTTATTTTAAGTTGATACAAAATTAAAAAATAGAGAATACTTTTTTATTATTGATTCAATAAAAGATGTAAGGACAGTATTCTTAAGCTGATATTTTTATATGGCGTTAGAAGTGATCACACTAAAAAATCATTAGAACTAGAAGAACTATTAGAAGAAAGAATAAGCTATCTTGATAAGTAATAATTATTCATTTATTTTTAATTGTATTTCTATAAATCAAATAATTCTTTTTTAGAAATTATAAATTACTGGCTGATGTTAATCTTACATTCAGTTTGCTAAACATGGAAGGTAAACCTAGTTCCAAATTGAGATGTCCAAAAGGTATATTGTTGATTTATTTTAATTATTAATAAGATTGCATATTAACACATTATAATGAATGACTTGTTATATTTAGATTGTTATGATTCTGTATTATTACAAAGTGATGCTCAATGTCACCCTCAAAGATTAAAACAGTATCATAAAAAATTATCTACTACTCTTATCACAGATAAAGATAATGCACAAATTTTAGAAAAAATATCAATTTGGGAAAATAAAGTTAATTTTAATGAAGTGTTTCATCAATATATCAGTTCAATGTGGGAGGTTAATATACTATTACTGACTTAATTTAGACATGTGTTTTACATTAAGTTTGAATTAATTTCCTCAATATTTCAGCTACCAGAAATAGGTAATTTTGTGGCTATTTTATTTAAAAAACTTGATCTTGATATTGTTAACCAAGGCGAAATTGAAAATATGTTTTTAATGCCTAAAGAATCTACAACTATGGCTAAAATCATGACAACTCTTTTGATGCCAGTCAAAAAAACAAAGTCTATTGATCAAGTCATGCCATATAAAGTTTGGTCTGAAAAACTTTCAAAGAAAGTATCAGACTGGTGTAAAGTATACCATACAAAAAAACAAAATAAAGTCATCGTTAGTAATATTTTTTACTTTTTATCAAATTATTTTAAATATTTGTGTAGAATAAATAATAAAAACAATTTTATGTTTCAGGTAATGAATTCTCTGGGTATCCATCCAGATTTTTGGTTGGTCGTGAATGAAAAGAATCCTTTAATTGAAAAAGACTACAGTGAACTTTCATATTTCATAAAAGTTTGGCTTGTAAAAGGACTTTGTGATTATGTTACCGTGAGTAACATGTATTCAATTTTTATTTATTAAATACATGTATTAATAATATCGAAAGTAGTAAAATGATTGTTAGTTGTAAACATTTATTTATATTTTATAAATATTTGTTTTAGATTAAATTTAAAACTATAAATGATATTATAACCAATTGTAATGAAAGGCAATGTACAATATGGAAGAATGATTTGGAAACTGAGGAATATTTCTTTTTCAATTCAATGCCCGATTTAAGGATATATTATTATAACATTCCATATGATGAAGTAATCGTTTTTAAATCAAAATGTATATTAATTTAATGTAACTATTGTTATATTTTTTTTCTTTTTAAGCCATGTCTTGAATTTCTCGAATCAGTAAAAACCGTTAAACAAGTAGTACAATTTGAAGATAATCTAACTTTGAATCGTATGTACATTTCTCCAAACCAATTTATTAATAATTTATATTTAAATATTTTATATGACTTAAACTATATTTTTTTAAGGTTTTTCTAAGGATTCTCATACAGTACCAAAAAAAAACATTTTTAAGCTTATTGCTGATTCGGTAGAAGGTCTTCGATCTTTTGTTCGTGAATTGGATTTGAAAGGAACTTCAGTTCCTGAAAATTTGATAAGCTCTCTAGAAAATTTAATTGTGAAAATTGAATTGGAAGAAAATAATTACATTGCCATGAACAATGATTCTAAAATAAAATTATTTAAGGACTGGGTATCATATCCAGGTAGAATTCAGAAGAATAAAGATAATATGTCACGTTGGGCAGAGAAAGATTTAAAGGCAATAGTTCAAGGTATTATATTTTGGGTTTTAAGCAAAACAATAAATGTATTGATTTTATAATTTTTGTTTTATGCCTGTCAACCTATTGGAGCAGTAAAAATGCTTAGAAAATTAATATATTTCCTGGTGAAAGGGTGATTTAGTTAGTACATGGAAGGTCAAAAATAAAAAAAATTCTAATTTAGTATTATTTAAAAAATATTTTGACTCTTTTTGAGCTCATAGACAATAGTGTTTTACTGTTTTTAGGTTTTTCTATGTATAAGGTTGATAAAAAAACTGCACATTCAAAAAGCTTGGAAATTTAATAAAAAGTTCTTCATAAGTTGTTAATTCTTGAATTTAAAGAAAAAACTGAGTGTAAATCCACAATAATTTTTATAATGTTTTGAAGTCCACGTTTTGACAAAATATTAAATAAAAAATAAAGTTGAACAATTATTCGGAAAAACTTGGTTACCTAAATGTGCATTTAAGCTAATTATTTTAATATTATACAATGTGATTTATCATTGAATTTAAATTTAATGTAGCCATTACTGTAACTTACTCATTATTAAGTATTCCAATATCTATATATTTAATTTTAACTCTCCACAATTTAGTTTCCAATAATTTTAATATGTCTACTAGCACCGTAACTTATGATTTAAGTTGATTTAATTTATTCTTTAATTTAATTTCTCTAAATATGGCAACAGGTCAGAAAACATTTCATACAAATATCTACGACTGACTGTTGTAATTAGGTTTTTAAATTTTATATGTTCCTAACCCTCAATTTCTAAAAAGTAAACGTAAATACTATTTACACTTAGCTAATTATCATGTAAATGCAGTATAAACAATTTATTTTTAATACTTCAAATAATTCAGAGTTGTACAAAAGCTATTCAATTTAATAATACTTATTAGTTATTACTAGAGTCCGGATTTGTATGCACTCAAAAAGGCCAAAATAGTATGCATTTATGCATCAAAAAACTTCAAAATATGTATTTGATATGCTCTTATTTTTTTTAATAATATGCAAAAATATGCTCTTATACCCAAAATATATGCATTTTAATATTTTTTTTTAAATTTCTTCCATAAATAATAATTCAACAAAATTAAATAAACTTAATTTTTTAATTATAGACATTGACTTTAAACATTTATTAAAGAACAGTAAATATTTAATAAAGAGCGATCCATGTTTTTATTAAAGTAGGATAGTGCTTCGAATTTTCGGCATTTTAAATTTTATAAATTGTAATGAAATGAAAATTTTAATTTATAAATTTACGGAAATGATATATGGGCACTAGTGCACAATTTACTGGCGATAACATACGGGGAATAACATTTATTTCCCAACAATAAGTAATGAACTAAGAATTTCAACGATGAAATTGAAACAAAATAATTGGCTTAATAAACTTTTATACAAAATATGCTTGAATATGCAAACATTTTCAAACATGCAGTCATCTCTAAAATATGCATTTATATGCAAAATAAACTTTTTTCTATGCATTATCTGTTACACAAATCGTCCACATTTCTTACTCCCATCGAAATGCATACACTCATTACAAATATGTAAATGCATACAAATCCGGACTCTAGTTATTACTATAATATGTACAATATACTTATAATATTTTTCTGATAGATTTATAATATATACTGATAATTGATAAATGATAAATCCAAAGATGTATAAAAATATTATTATAAGTATTAATTATACGTTTCTGAATTATTATAATTATTAGCCATTCGCTCTATTATAAGAAACTGTGTATTTTTATAAGATATTATTTATAAACAACTATTTTGTTTTAATTTTTTTTTAATAATGATACATGATATATATACATAATTGAGAACTGTTAATTGCTATTCCGTATTCAGTGTCAGTCCATCTGTCGGCAACTGTGTACCCGGATCTTGTGTTAACGGATAATATTTTTCATGCATAATTTTTTTTTTCAAATTAAACCTTTTTACCATAATGTATTTCTAGTAAGGATGCATGTTGAATGACAATAAACATTTTAAAAGTTATTTGCTGAACAGAGTTATACCCTAATAGTTTCAAGTACCTATAAATATTATTTTTAAATTTCCAAAATATAGTTGATAATTAATAATTAAAATAAATATACCTAGCTAAAATTGTTTAAAAAAAATGTGTCTCTTTAAAAATGTAATTTTGTCCAAATTTGAACTTAAAATGATGGTATTCGTTTAGTATATGACCTCCCGTTTAGGATATTTGTTTAGTATGCGTGATCTATTGGACCGATAGTAAATTTAGTAACAGCCAAATTAAAAATCATAAAATTAGGTTATTTTATCATTACAGATTACATTCAAAATTAGTCTACAAAATTTTGGTAAAAAATAAAAATTATGAACAAAAGGCATCAAATTATTTTATCATAAATTATTGTAACTTTTTGTACGTCACTTAAAAATTTAAAAAAAATTGTATCTTGAAATTGTATGTCTCGTATTAACGACAGAACACGTACTGACAGTATTGTCAATTCATAATGTTAGAATGACAAAATATCTATAGGTACAAACCAGTGAATATGAGGCACCGGTCCACTGTGCGACCTACAACTGATAACTGACTTGTCCTTACTTTTGCTGGGCCAATACCTAAATGTAAGTCACACACTGAACCGAAAATGTATGTGTAGGTCGCACATTGGACCGGTATTGAATAAAAAAAATGTATAATAAAATTATAAAGATAAGGAAGCATAGGTTGTCCATACCTAAAATATAGATAATCATCTTGGTAGGTCACATACTAAACTAATACCACAATGTTTCCAAAAAAGAGCCATGTTCTTGTATTATTTGGATGTAGTATGAACTATTTTTGAGAATCCTTGTTTCACATTTTCAACTCTCAGCTATAAAAATTGGATATTTTATAAATTCTTAATTTTCATGATTTTGATGAATTTTTTCAACATTTGAACTGGTTAATTTCAAAAACTGGCTCATCATTAAAATCACAGGTTTTTCTTATTTTTTTTTCGCTTCAATGCCTATGGATCTTTAATATTTCTTATTTTTAATATAACAACTTATGAGGAATCTTGTATTTCATTTACAAGCATTTAGAACCACCAAAACTGAAAAAGACTAAATAGTTAAACGTAGTCAAAATATTTAAAAATTGTATGATGTATAGAAAATTATTCCGGATAATATTTTTTTTTTTAATTTTTAGCTAAAAATGAAGAATTAATTATTGTTGAGAAACGCCAGAGAAAATTAAGAGTACATCAAAATTTTGATATATTTTATTCTGACGAATATGTTAGTGAAAATGATAAATTTTTATCTGATTTTACTGATTCTGAAGATGAATGGGGCGCTATGAATCAGCCCAAAAATAAAGTCAAACAACCACAGCAGACCCCTTCTAAAGCTTTTCTCGAACTAGAAAAGCGAGCCTTAGAAGCAGAGAAAATGCTTAAATATAGTACTAATCAAAATGATGAAAAGCAGTTAAGAGATGAAGTTAGAAGTGTAAAACATAGTACAAATGAAGTATGTAAGACTAATATGAAAAATAAATCGATCAAATCAGTTAAATTACTTAAAACTCAAAATGAAGTAAAAAGTGGTGATGCTACTAATACAATAGTAAACAGTCATAATCAAGTCAAACAACTTCAGCATACCCCCTCTAAATGTATTAAACTAGAAAAGCAATTAAGGGAAGAAGATACAACTTTAATAAAGGGGTCAAACAAAATGTTCAAGACTAATAAGATAGATAAATCTATCAAATCAGTTAAATTACTTAAAACTCAAAATGAAGTAAAAAGTGGTGATACTACTAATACAATAGTAAACAGTCATTATCAAGTCAATCAACTTCAACATACCCCTTCTAAATATATTAAACTAGAAAAGCGATCAAGGGAAGAAGATACATATTTACTACACGGCCCAAATAAAATGTTCAAGACTAATAGGATAGATAAATCTATCAAATCAGTTAAATTACTTAAAACTCAAAATGAAGTAAAAAGTGGTAATACTACTAATACATTTGTTAATGTCGATAAACAAAGATTGGTTCGTACTAAAAATAAAGATAATGTTTGCAGTTATGATGAAGTTGTATTAATTGATAGTGATAAAGAAGAAAACCAAAAATCTCCTGGTGGTGTAAGTCAAGTAGAAGTTATAACTTTAGATGAAGATATGCAAAATGATTGTGAAGTTTTTGATGGTAATTTTAAATCGTTAATCTCTAATCGCATCGACAATAAAAATAGAAAAACCAATGAACAAAATAACAAATATACTAAACGAACAGAATCTGCCGTTATTCCAATAAAAGATGATGATCAAATTATTATTATTGATCATAAAAATGATGTTCAACTTTTATCAATGACTGGAAAACCAGTGTGTTCACCTTTAAAAACTAGTAAACCTTTAAGTTTAAAAACTAATTCAAATAAATCATACAACTCTGTTTCTGTAAACAGACAAATAACTCCTACCAATTATTTTAAAGTTCAAGAAACATCTTCTATGATACATAAACTTTCACAAAACGTTACTATTATGCCAGCAAATGTTAATATACCAAAAGGTATTGTTGTTACTATGGTTAAAACACCACAGATAGACTCCAATTTTCATTCAAATAAATTTAAGTCAACCACTTCAAATGGTCATTTACCAAATAACTCTTCAACAATTAATGTGAAATGTGAACTTATTTCAAAACCAAATGTAAATGAAGAAGTTAAGTTTTATGTTAAACTACCCAATGGTACAGAACGTCCTATTTCTAACGAGATTATCAATCAATACCTTAAACAGCACAACAACCAGTTACCTGATTTTTGGTTGGTACCTTTAGCAGCAGAAGATGTCAAACAATATGGTGTTAACTAAAAAAAATCAATTATCTTAATCTAAGATAAAATCCTTATTTTTATGATCCCTGTATATTTATTTTTAGGATTTTTACAGTAAATTTAAAAATGTTTAAAGTTTCTTTTTATGATTTTACCAATTTCATTTTGATATTGTTAATTGTTTTAAAATTTAATTTTAATTTTAATTCCATTAATTTATATTTCATAAATTTAATATATTAATTATAATATATATTGAAAGTATGTACTGCAATGCTGACTAATAAGTTATAAGTCAAATAAATGTATTATTTTTAACTATGCAATATGAATGATGTTTTGGTCAAAGTCAGTTCACCGTTACTACTGTGTTAACAACTAAGTAATTAAGTACTTATATTAATATAAATACATCATTAAATATCTTAAGAAATAAAGTTGAGATACTGATAAATTTTTTTTTTTTTAAATGGTGTACTTGGTTCAGCTTACATCATGATTGGACATTTTTACTTCTTAGGTATTCAAAATCTACACAATGTTAGCTCATTAAAATAAAAAAAGTTAATATCTTTTGTTTCAGGAGTATATTATTAACCATATAAAAATATATTATACTATAATAGGTAAGTAAGTACCAGAAATATCCTAGTTTCAGTTATCTGACTTTCAGACTGTTAGGATATTAATATCATTATTTTTGCATAACAATGAAATATAAAATGAATAACTAGTTTTTTTAACCTAATTTCTCAATGGACATCTTCACTGTGCTTTTTTTGTTGGCGATGTACTGCTTCTGTACTCTATAATAGTTATATTATATGTGTCGATTTTTTTTTATAAATATGCAAAAAGTTTTTTAAATGGTATTTTCTTAATACATTTTTATTTGACGATTTGATTTTTTTTTATTATAATTATTCAACCTTCAATAACTAATTAATAATACATTTTTATAGTTATAGTAACAAAATGAATGTTTCTATTTGAATTTAGTGGTATACCTCATATATTAAATTGGTATAGATATATTGTTTTATTATTTGTATATATAAAATTTAAACATATTTTGTTATTTTGTTTATTTGTTAGTAGTTATTACAGTTTTAATTAACAAATAGCTGGTGTTTATTTTTTATTTTTCTCATAACACTTTAGTTCAGAATCTTATTAAATATGTTCATTTATAATTAAAATAATTTATAGTGAACATTATTATTTATTTATGGTAATAATAAAAAATATTCATCTGTGATCCAACTCCAAGAGTAAAGGTGCCGCTACATTATTTTGTTGTTCCATGTTGAAACTACTAAATTTATTTTCATTATTTTTTGATTGACAAAAAACAGTATTGGGGTTATTTTTAATTTTTTTAAAGACTGTTGAGAACAAAATATTAAAAAAAGGTGCTTATTGGAGTATTTTTTAAAGCACCCGAAGTAAATAGATATTTAATTTTCTTTGTTAATATAAGTAGTTCCAAATTCCTTATTTAGATCACTGCTAACAATATTATTCCGGTTTTTCAGAAAAATAAATGAATAAGTACAAATTTGTGAATTAAAGAAATGTACGTTTAGGAGATCAGTTAATGGAATACCTTTTAAGAATAGGATTAAATTATTTAATAACCACAATAATTATAATATCATTTACAAATTAAATAGTTTACACATAAAGTATTCATTAAATATTTTGAATCTGTTCTATACATCTTACATTTATCTGGCTGATGCAGTTTATTCTTGAAATCGCTCTAGTTGTCGTTGATTATAAATTTAAATTATTTATAAACAATTAATTTATAAAGTCAGTTTTGTAGATGATAGACATTGTATGGCATTAAGATGATTTACATATTATGTGATTTATAAATAAAATATAATCTTTTATTTTATAAAAAAAATAAATACTTATTCTAACGGTTCAAAAAAATGGTCCCTCCTACCATTGACTGGAAGACCTCTATTGTATCCCCATCAGAAAGATTCATTGAATATGGGGTATAGGATTCGAAAATTACATTTCCATCAAATCGAAACCTTAATGCTTCCAAAATGAATCCCTAAAATAATACAATTTTTAATGAATTAAACCATATTAAAATATAAGCATTAAACCAGCACTTACATATTAATACTAGCTGTAAACATAAATAAAATATCTGATATTTGATGTCAAAATAACAAGTATTTTTTAAGTATAATAACTTGTTATTAACAATCTTATATAGATAATGTTTAATGTATTAGTATACCATTTTAAAGGACACTACATACTTGTTGTTTTTGTCTCACAAGTTAGAGACTCAAAAAATGTACGATCGGCAGTTCACATAAAATATATTTAATTTTAATATTTGTGAATCAATGTATAAAACAATATTTAAATCTTGAAAGTTAGTTGTAAGCATGTAAAATCTTACATTCATTTCAACAAATAAAAGCAATAAACAGTGTTGTCACCCATATAGTATAATATCAAGCTCTAATATTAAAACTGCTAAATGCATATTTGCACTTGTTAGCAGTTAAAATGTTAGACACTTCCAATAAATAAAGGTATTCCATGGTGTTTTATTATGCATAAATATTAAAACTATTAATATTGATAGCATTAACTATTTCAAGTAAACATGTATGTAACAGTATCAAGCATTAAATCTGAATCAGTAAGTTTTAGCAGATGTAGCAAAACAAAAACTGGGTTAAGCGATTAATATATAAGTCATAGTACTATGACTACTAGACAAATGTGGGGCCAGTGGTGGTGATTGTATGACTTCATTACCACCAGACACCAGTGTTTATTAAATGTGCTTATAATATTATTTGTTTGTTAATTGTGTAGGAACTTTGAAGGAATCGGAGTACCAATGCAACAATGGCTATAAACATTTATAAAGTGCCAACCACTAGTAGTAGTCACGTCAAAGCGGGTTTAATGTTTTAATTTTGACGTTTAATGCCTTAACTTTGTTTGCTGATAATCAGTGAGTAAATTTTCACAATTTAGCCTAATTTAGTTCTTGATTCAATACATCCCATTCATAAATAATTTTTGATTTCTGTCTATTACAATTTACACGGTCTTTTATTCCAAAATTCAGTAACTAGAATTATAATGGATAGAATTGCAATACCAAATATTTTTTAACAGTTCATACTTACAGTTCTCTTGCAGTAAATTTTCATTAATTTTTGGAATGGAGCTAACATTTTCATTTTAATTCGAATACAACTTCCATCTGGTCCCAAGACTCTTAAAATTATTGGAGGACCAGGTTCAGGAGCAACCTGTAAAACATAAATTTTTTTAGTATTGATAGTTATTAGTTGGTATGAAACTAACAAAATTAAAATTTTTTCCAAATTAGTTCATAGTTAAATGTTCTCATTTTGAGTAGACTCTATGAATGTTAAACGATACAAACATAATATTAAGCCAACCCGGTCCATTATTGATTAGTATGAATCACACAATTATGATATAATACAATTTGTTTGTCGTCAACGTCAGACGATTTATCGTGCCAAATATAATCAATGTTAACGGTAATAGTTGTGTCAACAGCATTGAGGTGAATCAATGATGGAAGTAAATTTCTGGTTCGATTTCAATAGTAGTATGGATGATTAAGTGAATGTTATTACCGGGTGACCGTATATTTCTCTATCGTTTCAACCAGTTTCTATTCGGTATCACGAACGGTTGACGTCATGGGTTGTGGGGTATGCACCACTGATGTATTTTCGAAATACTCGATTGTTTGTTAAGGCAGAGATAGGTATTTGCAAAAGAAGATATTGCGCGCAGCAAATGAAAAAAACATGTAGGTAGTCGGCAAACCGGATTAGAACCGATTCTCGCCGCCTTGAAACACTAAACTAAGAGAGAACAATTGAGCGGACAAGCGGACAGAACGACTACCGGGTTACGAAGACGGAGACGGAACCAGTGTCGGGTGATCATCATTACAGGAAAAACTTGTGTTATTATTTTAGTGCGATCTACTCGAACTCGTGTTAATACTTACACTTCTGTCCATGTTGATTATTCTTGACTTGACTTTAAAGGGGTTACCGAATTGGTGAACTGACTTACGATAAAACACAGGCATACAATTTTGGAACGGAAGAATAAAATTACGGTTTACTGAATGCAACGGTTAATCGTATACTCAGCGCGTCACGAGATCTGGACCGTTTCGAGCATGCGACTGATGGAAATACGGACGCTCCGTCAAATATCCCCTCTACGACTATTTTGTATACGTAGTGAGTCCAAAAAGACGTTCGTGTCGGCCATTATAATGATATGCTACGTATTAAACCAATGATAATAATAATCCATTATAAAGTACATACAACATTTTTTTTTATTCATGATTTAAAAAATAACACGAAACCCGCTCGAACATAAGAATTGAAATTACTACAAAAAAACATGACACTGTATGCATGGTCAGAATTCTGAGCAGGTTGCGCACAGCTGTTATGAGTAAAAGTGGTGGGGATCGACGAGTTTTCGTAATCCTGGTCTAACAGAGTATAGTCATGGCTTTAGATATAATGGACTGGAAACTACATTGTGGGAATGTGACGGGGGACGGGCCGTATAAGGCTCTTCTTATCATCAACTTAAGGCCCCTGCAAATTCTATTCATTTTTCAACAAATCGACCTTAGCTACTGACCAAAATTTAAGTACTTCTAGTTTTACGATTTAAAAAATGTAAAGATGTTTTAATTGGTCAACAAGTCTACTTTGCATCGGTCGGACCATATTTTTGATATTTTTGAAGATATTCAATACTAAAAATATATAAATTTATAAAATGTAAAATATTTATTCTCGTCAAGAATTTTTTTAAAATTGAAAAAGTGCTCCGACCGATGCAAAGTAAACTTGTTTACCAACAAAAAAAACTTTACAATTTTTAAATAAAACAACAAGAAGTACCTTAATTTTTGTCAGTGCGACGGCTATTTCACGTCCATAAATTGGTTTTGAATATTTTGATCTAGACATTGAATGAGTTGTGCGTGTGCGTGCGTGCGACCATAAATCAGATAAGAAATAACAATATATTGTAAATTTATGCGGATCGCGGGTGATGGTAGGGGAGTACACACACTAATGATCATTTACTACACACACAAAGACAATCAGTAATCGCAGGAACGAAATAATTGCCTAAACACAACTCCTTAAAAATGACACATTTGCAGGGGCCTTAAGTATTCTATAAAGAAGTTCTTACTGTACACATTCATTAAAAGTCCACAATATTAATACAATTATATAAGTAAAAAATCAAAAAGCAAAAAAGGAGAACCCATTGCACAACATTAACATTTAAATTTATATTTTTTCCCCTCTGTAATGACTACAAATTGTTTTTAAATATTTAGTGTAATACGTTTTGGAGATTTTTATAATCATTATGGCTTTGGATAGTTAATTTAATTCTATCTAAATATTTTTTTGCACCGATTTTTCTCGACCTTTGTTTATTGATAAAATTATTGTTAGAAATATAACAGAAATTACTTGTAACATACTACAATTGATACACTCTGAATTCCCACATTCCTACATTAACAAAGTATTGTTTATACATTTTTCAACATGTGTCCGCAATCGTGTCATTTTCGGGGGTCCGTTGTTGACGTGATGTACCGATTGGCCGACAAATCAATTCGCCGACACACCATTTTGCCGACACCCGATTTTCCGACACACTATATTATGATGAATTATACTTACTATTAAACTTTATTATTTTTAGTAATTTTTTACAAGTCAACTATTAATACTATAAATTAACATTATAAGATAAATAAATTATAAATGATATTTTCAAAAACGATTCGTGCGAATAAGATTTCGACCGAGAAAGAGCATTTTCTAGTGCAACAAATACGCTAATGGCTACTATGAAGAGAGTGAAATTAATGGACTAGAATATGGGAAGTAGATTTCTTTCAAATTTATACCCACAACATTTTAAAAACTTATTTGGACATATGTAAGTATGTAATTTTAAAAAAAATGTACGACATTATATTTGATGTGAGTTTAACCACTTAATTTAAACATAAAACCAAGTACTAACATGCTTAACCATACCTACAAAATAAAAATAGTGTAGAAAGTCCTAATAGTCTGTTATAAATGGAAAGGCAAATGTTGAAACTTTTTTGTAAATAAAATAGCATGGTATATAGCATATATAGGTACTTGGTATATATTTTGAGTGACCGCAACTAGTTTGCAACCTTTTTGTTGGGTGACCGCAACTAGTACTTAATTTTTGATTTTGACCACAACTAGTATAGGTACACCGAATTGCTTCGTAACATAACAACATAATATAATATATATATTGTATGATAAACGACCCGGGTAGTTGTGAAACACATATATACACATCATATCTACCATAATCAAGGTAAGGGATTTGGGACTTATACGATCGCATAATTTCTGTATTATAGTCGTAGTACTTGTAGAACATGACAGAATAGTATTTAAAATCAAATACGTTAAAATGTATAGTGTATAGATACTAGATAGATAGACAATGAAAGCGGTACAACATGACATATTTTTTAACAGTTCAGAATGCTTGAAAGGCTTATAATTTAAATATTATAACAAATTATAATCGTTAAAAAAGTTCACATTTGCATTTAAATCAGAGCGTCAACTTGATTTTGAGCACGAGCTAGACGTCTTAGTTTCGAACAGGGGCGCAATTTTTTTAAAAAATGTGGGGGTGCTGAAGGCCCCTTTATTTGTTTTCATCTTATCTTATGGTTGTGGATGCCTGCATAAGACTATTAAAATGAAAATAATTATGAAACATATTGGGGGTACTAATTTCAAAATTGGGGGTGCTAAGCATCCCCAAGCACCCCCCAAATTGTGCCTTCGGTTTCGAATCAAAACTTACTATATATTTGCACATAACTGTGTTTTGTTATTAGTTACAGATAGCGCCTCAACCGAATACAATAATAATAATAATAATAAAAATAATAACTAATAATAATAATACAACCATCGATTGAATATTAGAATATATTATACGGAACTACTGCACGATATGGCAATCAAATATTATTATAAAAAACATAAATTGTTCTAACCGATAGACGTCAAACCGTAATAATATTGTAACTTATAAGTAATGACGAGTGTTGTATACACAGTATATAAGCGACGTAAACGCGTGCAACGGAAAATGATGGACACAATTCCAAAACAGATGGGAACGTCTCGGGTCGATAATATATGTATATGTCTTACTTATTTCGTAAATAATGAGAAAACCACCCTCTGAGTGTACACCGCTACATATTGTAGCGTAGATAAAAAGTGAGATCGGCGTCCTGCTTTGTGCAAAGTAATAATAACAAAGATTCTTTCAAGATAATAAACTGTTCTGAGAGAGCCATGGGTAGGTTTAGTCGCGTATAACATCTTGTTGATTGTATATCATTGTTTAAAATGTTTAAAAACCAGTTCCTGGAAACTATAGAAATGCGTAGTTGTTATATAAAAACGGACCGACCGACGCCGGTCCAAGATAATATTATATAAATATAATATGTTGTATAGGACTTTAAACTATATTATTGTAACAATATTATATTTTTATCATTATAACCTAGCCTAACGGGAATCGAAAGGTTAAAATATATATTGTCATATTGAGTATATTATATACAATGAACGACGACCGTCCTTTCCCGAAATTTATAACAAATGATTTGTCACACAAGGTCTTGTAAGTATATGTCTATAGTTCGAATAATTGATTATACTTATGCCCATTCCATACGGATAAAAGCGTGTGGGACTTCGACCCCGTATTGTATCTATAGTGCTGTACTGATGTGGTTGTGATCGCTGGGTGTTTTACAGTCCGGAGAGACGTGCTGTGTATTAAGGGACGGTACCTACAAAAATGTGTTATATTCTTATACCATGTTGGCTATAAATTATGGGATTTCGTTGTATGACACGTGTAAAAGTGGCCTTAGAAATATATAATAATAAGTTGAAAAAAGAAAAGAATTCCTCGAAACCTAATATAGGTAGTACTCGAAACTATTTCAAGTGCACCGCTCGACATGATGAAATATTATTCGTGTACGCAAATTTATATATAGGCACAATGGCACATGTTGATAATCTAGTAGGGCTATAATAATAATGAACTGCTGAATAAAAATTCCCGGAAAAAAATCTTCAGACAACAATATTACTCACAACCACATAAAAATGGTTGAACAAATATTCGAAATATTTTTATATGCTCTATTTTTAACGATGAAACGTGAGTTAGTACATTCAATATAATTTCTAACCATTGTTTGATAAATATTTTTATTTTTATTTTATAATCTTGCATTAAAGTAAAACTTATAAAAATGTCTTTAATATTTTCTATTTTAAACTACAGTATTATAATTTTCAAATTTGTGTTGTTCCAATTTTACAAAATTATACATAAATATATAATATATTATCGTAATATAAAACAAAATATTATTTATAGTAAAATTATTAATATTATCACTAATATTCTATTATCTCTATATAGTATATAATATTCATTTTTTGAACGTATTTGTAATTAAATATTAATAATGTGGTAGTTAATAATTATAGATACTAATTAACGTTTAAAAAATATTTGTTTGAGTAATAATGTAGTCTGGGGATTTTTATTCCGATTACCAATAATAATACGTGAGTGCTGTTAAAATTATAGTATGTGGAGTATTTATAGGACACACTATTGACATAATTTTGTGAAAATAATCTTGAACTCTTTTTTTCTTTAATTTAAAATATGGCTATTATTACTTCACTGTTACAAAATGTCTTATGGCAACTGAATTTTTTGAAACTTAAAGTGAATAAACGTTCATTAGGTTGTTCTAAATCGAAATCACCGGTAATTCAATACTCCTAGAGGCGAATCTTATAACTTATGGGCATATAAAATAATAATATAATATTACTCAATTACCGCAGTATTAGGTATACATAGGGACAACTGGACGCGGCTCCTTTGTGGTATACAAATCAGATATTGCAATACAAAAGAAATTTGTTTGTATGTGTTATTATATTTTATTATATTATGTTCTACACAACATTATGATGAGCAATATAGACTTGACTAAATACGAAAATATTTCATAACTGTGCCATTATTTTGCAGTGGGTACTTTATCA